AGGAGGAGGAGGAGGAGGAGGAGGAGGAGGAGGAGGAGGAGGAGGAGGAAGAAGAAGAAGAAGAAGAAGAAGAATAATAGGCATAATAATACTAAGAATAATAATAAGAAGAATAAGAATAAGAATAATAAGAAGAAGACGAATAATAATAAGAAGAAGAATAATAATAAGAAACATAATAATAATAAGAAGAAGAATATTAAGAATAAGAAGACGAATGAGAAGAATAATAAGAAGAATACTAAGAATACTAAGAAGACGAAGAAGAATAAGACGAATAACAAGAATAATATTACTAAGAATAATAAGAAGAATAATAATAATACTAATATCAAGAAGAATAATAATAATAGTAAGAAGAAGACGACTAAGAAGAATAATAATAATGATAAGACGAATAATAAGAATAATAAGAAGAATAAGAAGAGAAGACGAATAATGAGAAGACTAAGAATAATAAGAAGAAGAACAATAATAATACTAATAATAAGAATAATAATAATAATAATAAGAAGAAGAAGAAGAAGAATAATAATAAGACGAATACGACGAATCAGAAGAATAAGAAGAAGAATAATAAGAAGAAGAAGAATACGAAGAAGAAGAATAAGAAGAAGCATAAGCAGACTAAGAATACGAAGAAGAAGAATAATAAGAAGAAGAAGAAGAATAATAAGAAGAAGAATAATAATCAGAAGAAAAAGAGGAGGAGGAGGAGGAGGAGGAGGAGGAGGCGGAGGAGGAGGAGGAGGAGGAGGAGGCGGGGCGATGGCGGAGGCGGAGGCGGAGGCGGAGGAGATGGAGGAGGAGGAGGAAGGAGGAGGAGGAGGAGGAGGAGGAGGAGGAGGAGGAAGAGGGGAGGAGGAGGAGGAGGGAGGAGGAGGAGGAGGAGAGGAGGAGGAGGAGGAGAGGAGGAGGAGGAGGAAGAGGAGGAGGAGGAGGGAAGAGGAGGAGGAGGAGGAGGAGGAGGAGGAGGAGGAGGAGGAGGAGGATGAGGAGGACGGGATGAGGAGGGAGGAGAGGAGGGCGAAGGAGGGGGGAGACTTCTGAGGAGGAAGGGGGAAGGGATGATGATGATGGATGCTGATGATGATGGATGCAGGAGGAGAGGAGAGGAGGAGGAGAGCAGGAGGGGAGGAGAGGAGGAGGAGGAGGAGGAAGAGGGAGGAGGAGGAGGGAGGAGGAGGAGGATGAGGGCGAAGGAGGAGGGAGAATGCTGATGAGGAAGGAGGAGGGATGAGGAGGAGGAGGGGGAGTAGGAGAAGGAGGTGGAGGAGGTGACGGTGGAGGTGGAGGTGAAGGTGGAGGATGATGATGATGATGATGATGATGATGATGATGATGATGATGATGATGATGATGATGATGATGATGATGATGATGATGATGATGATGTTCATGATGATGATGATGATGATGATGTTGCTGATGATGATGATGGTGTCCCGACGATGATGATGATGACGTTGTTCATGATGATGATGGGATGATGATGATGATGATGATGATGATGATGATGATGGCAGTGATGTGATGATGATGGTGATGGATGATGGTGATGATGATGATGAGATGATGGACGGATGAGATGGATGATGATGATGATGATGATGATGAGATGATTGATGATGATATGCTGATGATGATTGATGGATGGCATGATGAGATGATGATATGATGAGATGATGATTGATGATGAGGGAGGAGGAGGGAGGAGGAGGAGGAGGAGGAGGAAAGAAGAGGAGGAGGAGACGGATGGAAGAGGAGGAGGAGGAGGAGGAGGAGGAGAGGAGGAGGTGGGGAAGCGGGGAGGAGGAGGGAGGCGGCGAGGCGGAACGGAGGCGGCGACGGAGGGAGGAGGAGGAGAAGGAGGAAGATGGAGGAGGAGGAGGAGGAGGAGGAGGCGAGAGGATTTGGAGGATGAGGCGGATGAGGAGCGGAGGAGGAGGAGAAAAAGGGGGGAGGAGAAGGAGGAGGAGGAGGAGGAGGAGGAGGAGGAGGAGGAGGAGGAGGAATAAGCCGCGCCGCCTCCCTCTCCCCTGTCGACGTGTTGGGGGGAGGGACAGTGGCGGGTCCTCCCACCTCCCTCCCTCCTCCTTCTCCCTCTGTTCTCTTGCTCCTCCTCCTCTACCTTTTCTAGGACACATTGGAGCGATCCTCCTTATCCCCCTCCCCCTCCCCCTCCTCCTCCTCCTGCTGCTGCTCCTCCTCCTCCTTGTTCTTCTCCCCCTCCTCTTCCTCCTCCTCCTCCTCCTCCTACTCTTGAGCTACAAGCGCTCCTTCTCGGCATGCTCCTCCTCCTCCTCCTCCTCCTCTTTTTCCTCTTTCTCGTCCCCTCAAGCATCGGCTCGAGGTGTCTCCGTAGCAAGCTTCTGGCTTCTTCGTGATGCCTTGAACCGAGCCTTTCGTCTTCTCGTGGTACTTGAGGGTCCGAGGTCTGGAGTTCGGCGGCGGCGCACTGCTATGTTTTATCTGGTGGCGAAGAAAGGGCACCGTGCTGAGCGGGCTGGCAACCAGAACAAGGACCGCACTAGTTACTTTGGCTTCGATTGGCGCGGTTACCTCATATTGCAGTTTGGTGTTTGCAATTGTGCTTGTGTCAGTTGTTGTATTCAGTACTGCTAGTGCTACTGCATTTGCTGGTGTACAAGTTTGTTTTGTCGGAAGGTCGTTTGGCGATTTCCTCCATCCGGTTCGACATCCGTCCCAGAGAGGAGGGGGGGGAGCCACACGAGCTACGCCCTGGCACTGACCGACCCCCTTGGGCGTAGCTCGATGTCTTCGCTTGGTGGGTCCTTGGGCTCGCTTCGCTTCCGAGGGACCACGATCCAGCTGCCACCCGGCCAGGGCCCCGCCGGCGTGGCCGGGCGGTCTGCGAGTTGGGCTTGGGCGCCCGTGGCCTCCGTGCACGGGGGGTGGCGCTCGTCGGGGCTCCCGCCGTCCTCGCGGAGGACACAGCAAGCTTACTCCAGATTTCGTAATAAAGGGAGGGGGGTCTCATTTGGGGGGCGGTCTCTTCCAGGCTATCTTGGAGGGCCTGGGGGGTCTGGGGACGGTGTTTTGGAGGGTTCTCCCACGGGGGAGGTCTGAAATGGCTTGTCTTGGAGGGTCCAGACCCCCTCCCTTTTATTACGAAATCTGGAGTGTCAGGTGGCCTCAAGTTTCATTGTGTCGCGCTCGCTGGCGCATCGGTTGTTGGATGTGCGGTGGATGGAGTCACTGCCTCGAGCATCGGCCTGGCACTTCTTTCCCGTGGTCGTCGCGGAGGTTGTGCTACTCGTGGACGTCGTCCCGCTCTACCTCAAGGATAAGGTGGCGGTGGCCTCTCCGTCCTGGTCGTGAACGTCTCGCTCGCGGTCTGCGTGACGGTCAGGGAAGAAAAGGCTAGCTTCTCGTTGAAACGACTATGTCGGATAGCATGTTCCATTTCCCGCTCCTCCTTTTCGTCCCCTTTTTAGGGGAAAAGGTGGGTGGAGGCATAGGGCGAGAGATGTGTAGGCAGGGAGGTAGGAAGTAGGAGGAGAGGTGTGGAAGGAGGGATGGGGGGAGGGGAACGGAGAGGGGGAGGGACAAGAACACAGGGAGAGAAGAAGAACAAGGGAGCTGGAGGGAGGAACGCCCGCAGGAGGCCCAGCGGAGGAGTGGAGGATTGGCTGCGCGGGCGCGTGCGCGCGGGCGCGTGCGCGCGGGCGCGGCGCAGCAGACGGCTCAGGAACCACCGTCACCACGACAGTCGCGCTGGCGGCCACAACGGGTACGACCACCACCACCACCACCGTGGCGGTCGTCGCAGGATGAAAGGATGATTGCCGATGCCGCTGCTCGTCCTGGAGGCCCTCGTCACCCTGGATTCGCCTCAGAAGCCTTGCCAGAACGCGCCCCAGAAGAGGTGCAGAGAGTACGGTAATGGCCTTTTGTTTAGCGTGTCGCGCCGCCGGTTCTTGCCCACTACGCCTCGGTGCGACATGCAAGCCACGTCCTGGTCCCCGGGCAAGAGCGGTCTGGGCCTTCCCGCAGAGCGGAGCGGCAATCAGCTTGGAGGGCGCGTCGTGTCGCGCAGGGGCCGCCGCCCCGACGCGCTGAGCAAATGTGCCTTCTCGCAGCGGCGTCGGCCGTTTCTGTTGTTCTCTCCAGGTCGGGGTCCTGGGGCACTTCCGCAGCCTCCTCGACGGAGGCAGCGCGGGCGACGCGGGGGACGGCGAGGCGCTCGCCGCGGCGGCCGTCGTCGTCGTCGTATGCGCTCCGCCGCCGCCGCTCGCACTTCTGGATGGCCGTCGGCACGAGGAGGAGGGCGGACGAGGAGGAGGAGGAGGAGGAGGAGGAGGAGGAGGAGGAAGAGGAGGAGGAGGAGGAGGAGGAGGAGGAGGAGGAGGAGGAGGAGGAGGAGGAGGTACGGCATTTGTGGCCCCTTGTGCCCGCGCCGCCTCGTTGGGACCCAGGGGGTTGCTGGCATCAGTGTCGAAGGTCTCATAGAGTGTCGCGAGTGCCGCCTGGACTGTGCCGGGGTTGCTGGCATCAGTGGCGAAGGTCTCATAGAGTGTCGCGAGTGCCGCCTGGACTGTGCCGGGGCCGTCGTCGTACCCTTCACCGTACTCGTCGCCCTCCCTGTCGCACTCGTTGCCGTTTCGTGTTGCCGTCGAAGCGTTTCGATACTGGTGTTTCGAGGGGTCCTAGCTCCGCGGGGTCGAATTCAACACGATTCTGAAGGCCTGACGGCCGGTGCCGCCGACCCTGAAAGACATCGACGACGACCAGGAGCGGGAGGAGAAGGAGAAGGATGAGGCGGAGATGAGGAGGAGGAGGAGGAGGAGGAGGAGGAGGAGGAGGAGGAGAGGAGGAGGAGGAGGAAGGCAGTTTGTGGGAGAGCCTAGAGGAGGATGACGGAAGGGGGAGAAGGGGAAGGGATAGGTGGAGAGGGGGGGGAAGGGGGGGAGGAGGGTAAGGAGGTGGAGGGGAAGAGGATGGAGAAGGGATGGAGTGGGAAGGAGAAAGGAGGAAGAAAAGGAAGAAGGGGGGAAGAGGATGAGAAGGAGGAGGAAAAGGACTCCCCCCTGGGACCTCCCCCCTGGGGAGGAGAACCGGAGGAGGACCGGCGTGGGAGAGGGGGGGAGTGGGAGGAGAACCCCCAGTTAGCTCCGCGGGGTCGAATTCAAAACGTTTGCTTCTTGGCGGACCGAATTGGCTCGATGCGAATAAGCCGACTCGCGATTCCACCGCCGCCGCCGCCGCCGCCGTTGTCGTCGTCGTCGTCGTCGTCGGCGTCGTCGTCGTCGTCGTCGGCGTCGGCGTCGGCGTCGGCGTCGGCGTCGGCGTCGGCGTCGGCGTCGGCGTCGGCGTCGGCGTCGGCGTCGGCGTCGGCGTCGGCGTCGGGGTCGTCGTCGTCGTCGTCGTCGTCGTCGTCGTCGTCGTCGTCGTCGTCGTCGTCGTCGTCGTCGTCGTCGTCGTCGGCGTCTGCGTCGTCGTCGTCGTCGTCGTCGTGTTCGTCCTCGTTGTCGTCGTCGTCGTCGTCGTCGTCGTCGTCGAAGTTTAACGTTGCGTCGTCGGGGGCCGAGGGTCGCTTCGGACCTCTCGACCCGTTCCCTCGCTCGTTTTTTCCCCTCCCCGTGGCCCCGAGGTCCGACAACGATTACCCGAGGCCCCCATCGCCGCCCCGAGGGGGCCCCGAGAGGAGACCCGGCCCCGCCCCGGCCCGTCCCAGGGTGCCACGCCACGCCCCAGGAGGGCCCTGGGTAGCGCCGGGAGGGACCGTCGCCGCCGTCGTCGTCGTCGTCGGCGGCGGCGGCGTCGTCGTCATCCTCGTCGACGTTTGGCCAAGCCTGGCCGTTGGCCTCGCGCGTGCCAGCGAGGTCGCCAGATAATGCACCATACACTCATACCTTCTGTTGAGAAACTCCTCCCGCCAAGCTGGGTCTCAAAATTTGTTAAAATTCGATAACGAATTCCCAAAAGCTGGCTCAGTTTCTTAACGCCGGCATCTTCTTACTGATCTTCCTCCAGATCTTCGGGATCTTCTTCCAGATCTTCGTCGAGATCTTCCTCTGGATCTTCCCTCAGATATTTTTCCCGATCTTCTTCTGTATTCTCTCCGAGAGTTTCCCCCAGATCTTCGCCCAAATCCTCTCCGAGATCTCCGCCCAGATCTTCCTTCAGATCCTCGCCCAGATCAATCCCTCCTTAGATCTCCCCCCAGATCTTCATAGAGATCTTCCCCTAGATCTTTCCCCTGATCTTCCTTCAGGTTTTCTCCCAGATCTTCCCCTGGATCTTCCCCCAGATCTTTCACCAGATCTTCCTCCATATTTCCTCTCAGATCTTACTCCCGATCTCCTTCCGGGTCGCCACGCAGCTCTTTCACCAGATTTTTCCCCTGATCTTTCTCCAGATCTTCCCCCAGATCTTCCCCCAGATCTTCCTCCAGATCTTCCTCCAGATCTTCCTCCAGATATTCCTCCAGATCATCCTCCAGATCTTCCTCCAGATCTTCCTCCAGATCTTCCTCCAGATCTTCCTCCAGATCTTCCTCCAGATCTTCCTCCAGATCTTCCTCCAGATCTTCCTCCAGATCTTCCCCAAGATCTTCCTCCAGATCTTCCTCCAGATCTTCCTCCAGATCTTCCTCCAGATCTTCCTCGAGATCTTCCTCCAGATCTTCCTCCAGATCTTCCCCCAAATCTTCCTCCAGATCTTCCCCCAGATCTTCCTCCAGATCTTCCTCCAGATCTTCCCCCAAATCTTCCTCCAGATCTTCCCCCAGATCTTCCTCCAGATCTTCCTCCAGATCTTCCTCCTGGTCGCCATGCAGCTCTTTTACCAGATCTTCCCCCATATTTTCTCTCAGATCTCTCTTCTAGATCTTTTCAGCAAAGGAAAGGAAAAGGACGGGAACAATGAGGATGAGGAGGAGGAGGAGGAGGAGGAGGAGGAGGAGGAGGAGGAGGAGGAGGAGGAATAGGAGGAGGAAGAGGCGGAGGAGGAGGAGGAGAAAAGTGCGGACGAGGCCACCACCAGCAGAATCACCAGCAAAATCAACAACGCGACCACCAGCAACATGTCCAGCAAAACCACCAGCGCAAGTATTAACAAAGAAATTTATTCGAAATCTCCGCCAACGCACCAGCACTTTATCCACTGGGTGTTTCCTCCGCCAGCGTGCCAGCATAATCCCCAGCCAAACCACCATCCGCCTCTCCAGCAAAACTAGTGGCAGAAATACCATCGCAACCACCACCACCACCACGAGCGCAACCACTATCGCAACTAGCAGCGCCATCACCAGCAAAATCGTCACCAGCGAAACCACCATCAAAACGAGCAGCACGACCGACAGCACAGAGACCAGCGCAACCACCAACACAGCCACCGGCATAACCATCATATCTTCTTCCAGATCTTCCTCCCGGATCTTCCTCCCAGATCTTCACCAGATCTTCCCTCCAGATCTTCCTCCCAGATATTCACCCAGATATTCACCCAGATCTTCCTCCCAGATCTTCCTCCCAGATCTTCCTCTCAGATCTTCATCACAGATCTTCCTCCCATATCTTCCTCCACCATATCTTGTTCCAGATTTTCCCCCCAGATCTTCACCCAGATCTTCTCCATGGATTCAATCGGATCTTCATCCAGATCTTCCTCCAGATCTTCCTCCAAATCTTCATCGAGATCTTCCCCCAGATATTCCTCCAGATCTTCCTCCAGATCTTCCTCCAGATCTTCCTCCAGATCTTCCTCCAGATCTTCCTCCAGATCTTCCTCGAGATCTTCCTCCAGATCTTCCTCCAGATCTTCCTCCAGATCTTCCTCCAGACCTTCCTCCAGATCTTCCTCCAGAACTGTTCCTCGAGATCTTCCTCCAGATCTTCCTCCAGATCTTCCTCCAGATCTTCCTCCAGAGGTTCCTCGAGATCTTCTTCCAGATCTTTCTCCAGATCTGTCCAGGTCTTCCTCCGGATCTTCCTCCAGATCTTCCTCCAGATCTTCCTCCAGCTTGCATGATATTTCTTTCAATCTCCCCGCAGATCCTCATCAATATCTTCACACATCTCGTCCGATCTTCCTCCAGATCTTCCTTCTCATGAATCCCAATCTCGTCTTTTAGATCTTCGTCAATATCTTTTCCCATATCGTCGTTTCAGATCTTCTCCCATATCCACTCCCATCTTCCTCCAGATCTTCCTCCGGATCTTCCTCCAGATCTTCCTCCAGATCTTCCTCCAGATCTTCCTCCAAATCTTCCTCCAGATCTTCCTCCAGATCTTCCTCCAGAACTCTTCCTCCAGATCTTCCTCCGGATCTTCCTCCAGATCTTCTTCCAGATCTTCCTCCAGATCTTCCTCCAGATCTTCCTCCAGATCTTCCTCCAGATCTTCCTCCAGATCTTCCTCCAGATCTTCCTCCAGATCTTTCTCCAGATCTTCCTCCAGATCTTCCCCCAGATCTTCCTCCAGATCTTCCTCCAGATCTTCCTCGAGATCTTCCTCCAGATCTTCCTCCAGATTTTCTCCAGATCTTCCTCGAGATCTTCCTCCTGATCTTCCTCCAGATCTTCCTCCAGATCTTCTTCCAGATCTTCCTCCAGATCTTCCTCCAGATCTTCCTCGAGATCTTCCTCCAGATCTTCCTCCAGATCTTCCTCCAGATCTTCCTCCAGATCTTCCTCCAGATCTTCATCGAGATCTTCCTCTAGCTTGTTCCCCGTGTGTTCATCCAGATACTCCCCCAGATCTCCCTCCATATGTTCCTGCAGATATTTCTCCAGATTTTCCTCCACATCTCCCCCCAGATCTTTCACAGATTTCCATAGATCGCCTCCCGGATGTTGCTCTGGCTGTTCCCCCGGATATTCCCCCAGATCACCACCCAGATCCTCGCCCAGATCTTGACGTGTTCCTGTATGTTGTTTGCTGCAGAGCCCCCGGCGCCGCAATCGGCACAATCACCGGCACAATCTTCATCGGAACCACCCACACTGGCGTCGCGCTGCGCTAAGAAATTGCACGCTTCAAAGCTGGCTTTCGCAAGGGGGCGAAGAAATTCAGCGAAGCTGGGTCTCAATTTCTTACTGGAAGATTTCTTAGCATAAGTTTTGAGTGTGCTTTAATGTCCCACCTGCCCGGCCCGACCCGCCTGTGAGGGCCCGGCCTGCTCGACCCAGCCTGGAAGTGCTCTCGCCTCAATGCTGGCTACGTTTTGTGAGGTGTACGTCTGTCTTTTGCAGCCGACCCCCCGCTCCTCGATTCGCCTCTCCACCTCCGCTGCGATTCGGGTGCGCTGCTGGGGTGGTCTCAGGGCCCGCTTCACGAGTCCATCGGGCGCGCGATCGTGCTGTGGCCGTCGTGGCCTTCGCCTCGACGGGCGCCGCGTGTGCGCAGGGCGATGCGATCGGCGGCAGGCGCTCCCAGAGCGAGTCCACGCCCGACGGCGACAGACTGAGGTCAGGCATTGGAGCTGGCTCCTGGGCTGCTCACTCGGATGCACTCTGGGTCTCACGGGGAGGAACAGGAGGATATGGGGGAAGAGGAGGAGGAGGAGGAGGAGGAGGAGGAGGAGGAGGGGGAGGAAATGGAGGAGGAGGAGGACTGGGAGGAGGACGGGGAGGGACGGGGCGGGAGGGAGGAGGACTTGCGTCATTTCGTCAGCGTGAGGCCTTTGTCTGGCTCGCGGGAGCCGGCGTCGTCATCCTGCTGGGGCTCCCCGTGGCGGTGCTCGCAGTCATGGTGAGCTGCGGCGACGCTCGGTGGGAGGGAGGGACCGATCTTTCTCTCCTCGCCTCTTTATTCAACTCACTTTCCCTCTCACCCATTACCCGTCCCCTCTCTCCACATTTTTTTTTTTTTTTTTTTTGTTTTTTGTTTTGTTCTCTCTCTCTCTCTCTCTTTCTGTCTCATTGTCTCTCTCGCGTCTGCTCATGTGCGTCCTGGCACGCTGCGCAGCCACGGGAAATTGCATTTCACCTGGCCTCATTGCTCTCACTGAAGTTTCCCCCCACTTGCCCATCCCAGCCTTTGCAGCGTCCGCGCTGCCTCCTTCGCAAAGGAATGTTGAGGGGACGCACACCTTCACCAACACTACACCACGACCCAGCAGCAGACCAGAACAATGATCATTACCACGGCACGGGAACCGCCGGTCCACGCGACTCCAACGACTCCATCGATTCCACCGACTCCGACGTACGCAGCGACCCACCCACCGACCGACTCAAATTGCAAAACGCAGGCATCGACGATGAGGACACGCAGCCGGGCAGCAGGTTTTTTGACGACCTGGAGTTGTGGTCCGACTTCATCCGCAGAAGCACGCGGAGGGCGGACTCGCTCATGCTCATGCACGACATACCATGTGTAAACAAACATACATACATACGAACATACGAACATACATACATACATACATACATACATCCATCCATCCATCCATACATACATACATACATACATACATACATACATATTTACATACATACACACACATTTATGTAGACGTATATATTTATATGTATATATATAGATGTGCTCATGTATCGTATATGTATATGTATACCTACACATGTTCATTCTCTCTCTCTATATATATATATATACAAGACTGCATTGGCGCTGCGCGCCATGTACCTTGGTCCTTTGAGTTCTGCACGCAAGCGGAATGCGTGCGTGCGTACATGCGCGCATGCATGTAAACACGCGCACGCGCATGCACGTTCCGTATACATTTCTAGGTGAATCCAATATACTTACATGGTTGTAGGTGTGTATACAGCGTACATATGTACATATAAGTCTATGTGTGTAAGGGTATGAGCATGCATATGCAACTCGTACGGGGTATCCTCGGGCACCTTCGCTGCATGCCACGAGACCCTCAACGACTGGGTCACAATGTGAAATGTCATGGGAGCAAAATCGATGAATGTTGGCATTCGGAAGCATCGTGGGGGTGTTTTCGGGGCCTTCGTGGGCCGTTTTGACGCCTTCATGGGCCGTCCTGGGGCCGTCTTGGGCCGTCTTGGAGAGCTTGGGCCCGCTGGAGCCCCCTTTGGACCCATCTTGGGCACTTCCGGGGACCTCCCATGGCCCTTTTGGGTCTGTGCTGGGAGCCCTTGGGGGGCCTCTTGGTTCCATTATGGGCTGTCTTGGGGCTCTCGTGGGCGATCGTGGGGCCCGGCTCGGCCGTCTTGAAGCTTTCTTGGGGGCCTTTTGGGGCGTCTTGAGGCGATCTCGGGGGCTTTGAAACCGTCTTGAAAGCTGATGAAATCCGAAAGGCGAATATGCTAAAATTGTAAGTTTTACGAAGGGAATGGGACGATTTTTGTGCTTTGAAGGCCCCTTGGAAAGCTTTTTGGGGTGCCTTGGGGGTCTTTATGTTGGCATTCGGAAACATCGTGGGGGTGTTTTCGGGGCCCTCGTGGGCCGTTTTGGCGCCTTCATGGGCCGTCCTGGGGCCTTCTTGGGCCGTCTTGGGGAGCTTGGGCCCGCTGGAGCCCCCTTTGGACCCATCTTGGGCACTTCCGGGGACCTCCCATGGCCCTTTTGGGTCTGTGCTGGGAGCCCTTGGGGGGCCTCTTGGTTCCATTATGGGCTGTCTTGGGGCTCTCGTGGGCGATCGTGGGGCTCGGCTCGGCCGTCTTGAAGCTTTCTTGGGGGCCTTTTGGGGCGTCTTGAGGCGATCTCGGGGGCTTTGAAACCGTCTTGAAAGCTGATGAAATCCGAAAGGCGAATATGCTAAAATTATAATTTTTTTACGAAGGGAATGGGACGATTTTCGTGGGTTGAAGGCCCCTTGGAAAGCTTTTTGGGGTGCCTTGGGGGTTTTCATGTTGGCATTCGGAATCATCGTGGGGGTGTTTTCGGGGCCCTCGTGGGCCGTTTTGGCGCCTTCGTGGGCCGTCCTGGGGCCTTCTTGGGCCGTCTTGAAATTGTAAGTTTTACGAAGGGGATGGGACGATTTTTGTGCTTTGAAGGCCCCTTGGAAATCTTTTTGGGGTGCCTTGGGGGTCTTTTGGGCCGTCCTGACGCAATTGAGGTCCCTCTTGGAGCGCTCTTGTGCTGTCTGGGGCCTCCATTGGGCCTTTCTGATGGTTCCTCGGATCGCTCTGGGTCTGCTGGCAAGGCGTTTGTGGAGACCCGGAAAGCCGGGTGACCTTTTCCAAGGACGTCCAAGGGAGCCCGAGAACCCCAGATCCCGGGGGTCCAGTTTAGGGGGGGGGGATGGTTTTTCCCCCCCTCCCCCCCCCGGCTTGTAAAAAGATAGGAAGAGGAATATCGCATCTACATTGTAGAATAGTGTGGCGGTGGGCAAATACGATAGCCCACTACCTCACGACACGCTGGATCCAGATAGTGCTTGAATGGAATCCGAATCTTAGTACAAGCCAGCGTGTACGACGACAACATGGGGGACAGCCAAAGCGGGGGGACGACGATCTCGGGAACTTCCTGTGCGGTTTGGACAGCGAGGCCGTAGATGAACAGAACAGGGCAGCCACCCAACCGCGACGATACGAGCACAGCAGCACGAACGGCCTACGAAGGATCCGGGCCGCCGGTGCACAGAGTGGTGGGCATCGCATGAGCGGGCATACGCCTCACAAGCCTGCATTGGAGACCCTCCCAGTCGAGGCCACGGCCTCCACGCCCTGTCCTGAGGGGCGCGGGCGGGCTGCCCAGAGGAGCGCGCACGACTCCGGCGTTCGCTTCGCGTCGCTGCGCTGCCTCTTTCGGTTCGCGCGTCCTCCGCTCCGACTTCTGCGGCGCCCTGGGCGTGGTGCCGTCGCCCTGGGCACGCCGCGGCCCTGCGCGCCGCCCCTGACTGGAGTGCCGCCTCCTCCCTCGGCGGCGAGCGAGGGGGGGAAGCGAGGAGGAGAAGGCCCTCGCAGGAGGCGGCGGGTCCTCTCAGAAGCCCCCGCGCCTTCTGGGAAGTTTTCGGTGTCTTCGGGGAAGGCTTGGACAGCTTCTCGGGAGGGCGGGGGACTTCCGAGCCTTCCGAGAAGGCCCTCTCCTTCTCGCTTCCCCCCTCGCTCGCTGCCGACCTTCATCAGACGCACTGTGGCAAACCCTCGCACTCCGCTGGGACACAGCCTTCAGCGTCCGTTTTCTGGGACACTGCGGTGGCGTACTTTGCATCGTGATATTTTGCACAGGTGTTTCACCCGCCGTCCTTGCCGATGCGCCAAGCGCGGCGCCGTGTGTGTGTGTGTGTGTCAGGGGGGCAAGCGTTGGTGTGAACTTGGCCAAGTCCTCCGCCATGGGCAGGCCAGCACGGTGACAGAGCACCTGCCCCATTAGACACTCGAGGCCAAGGACGAGAACCTCCGCCCGCCGACGCAGCCTCGGCCAGCCCGGGGCTGAAGGGGAGCGGCACCCCCAGCCCTCCGCTGGCGACTCGAAGTCCGGGGGTTCGTAGAGGGGGGGCCTGAAACGGGCCGTCTTCAGCGGCTTTCCTCGAACCCCACCTCTGCACCCACCCCACCTTTACGCCCCCCCGAGCAGTGGGTGAAGGAGGTCTTCCCGTCCTACAGGATCTTTGCCTCCACGTTGGAACGGGTCCACGGCCTCTTCCACGGCGAGGATCGGACAGAAGTCCCCCGTCCTGACCCTCATCCCCATCAGCCGTGCCCCGCTCGCCACCGTGGTTATGATCGGCGTCTCCGCCCAGGTCGCTCCCCACTGCAAGTCCCCGGACGCCCTGATGCGAGTATCCCGTATCTCTCTCATGGCCAAGTTCGCGGATTATTGGGAAGGTCTCGCGGTTTGTGCCGCCGACCCTGACGACGACGACGGCGACGAGGAGGAGGAGGAGGAGGAGGAGGAGGAAGAACAGGAGGATCGGAGGAGGAGGAGGATAAGGTAGACGCAATCCCGACATCGAATGCCGATCTGGCAGACGCGCGGCTGGTTCGGCAGACGAGCAGCCTGTAAGGGCTGTTTTTGTACGGTTCTCGTTTCTAGTGGTACTTTCTTTTTGCATTCCTTAAAGTTGTCTTGAAAGGAAACTACTTTGAAGTGCTAAGCATGCGCGCGCTGTAAACCTTGCTGAGGACTCGCGGTCACCGCAGAGAGGCCGTCGTATCTGACCCCGCGGCGGCGGCGACGACGCTGACGTGGGTCAGAGTCCTGCTTCTTGGGGTCTCTTCGAAGAGCTCTCGGGGGCCTCTGGGGGACAGTTCAGGGGCCTCGTGGGAGCCTCTTCGGGGCCTCTTGGGAGCCTCCTGGAAGCGTCTTGGGGCTTCCTGGGGGCCTTTTGGGAGCCTCGTGGGCCCTCTTTGGGGCCTCTTGGCGGCCTCTTGGTTCCTCCTGGGAGCCTCTCGGGGCCGATAACTCGAAATTTCCGTTCTGGTCCCTCGTCTGGGCACCTTCTTGGAGCGGTCTTTGGGGCCTCTGGGGCCGTTTTGGAGGCGTCTTGGGTCGTCTTGGGGCCCTCTTAGGCCGCATTGGGTCCCGACCTGGAGGGGCTCTTGGCCCATCTTGGAGCGTCGGGCTGCGGAAGAGGCGAGATCGTCGAAACGCTTCAGACACTTCTGGGGAATCTTTGATTTTGCTTAATTGGGCCTCTCCTGGGAGTGTTCCTGGAGTCCTCTTCGGGCGTCTTGCAGGACTCTTGGGTCGTCTGGAGGCCGTCAACGCGTCTTGGACAGATCGTTCGGCGATTCGGGACCTTCTTGGACCGTCTTGGGGGCCTCTTGGGGGCACTCTTGGCCCGTGTTAGGGTTTTTTTGGGCCTGGGGACTCCACCCGGGAC